CACAAATGTTAATAGTATGATTGGCTATATTTGATTGCCACTAAATGTAGGATGGTTAACTAAAAAATACCTTTAGGATATCATTGCCAATTTTTATTTACACGTTTCACAAATTGTGTGACGAATTGAATATATACTTTCTTCAAAAAATCCATCAGTCTGCAGAGCATCACATCATGTCAGAAAATTACCCAGAAGTCGAGACATGACCACTTCAGAGACTTCTGCAGGCTTCTCTCACCTAATTCTAGATGGCAATACATTTTGCTCAGTAAAGAGTGGTTTTGCTCCATTGTTGTCTGATATATTTTCAACTTTGATGTGTCAATTTCAAAATGTTTATCTGTAAATCGTCTTAGAATGTCCCAATTTTCTCAGGGCTCCAGAGTGCAAGTCGGTCAATCTTTATGTTCTCTCTAGCCTCTAAAGATGGGACATTGGCTAAAGCGTCAGTTTAGTATGTATATTTTTTTGGTTTAAAAAAGTTACGTTGACGAATGTGGTGATTTTCTACAAAAACATTTAATATTTTACCCCTTTAAAGCTGGGCTTAATTAATATAATCATGTTTTGTATCTGGTTATTGGTAATTGAGCTTGAACGCACTCAATTTGCTACACGTGAGAACTTTATTTAATAATTGGCTGGACCGCTGTGCAGATTCCACGGTGCCAGCTCTGTGCTCTGACAGCCATTATGAGCTTTTTGAGCCGTCTAGTTGCCTCACAGTTAACTTCTGGAAAGTTCTTGCATTTTGAGCTCGAGGAGACAATTGTTACACTTGTCAACGTTGCGATTCTCAGTGCTGTTGCTGCAGGACGGTGAAGGCCTGCATGTTGATAGAATGCCTCCCTCGCTTTTATCGGTGCCTCGGTTGGCGTGCGTACGCGTTTATTGTTTTTTCTTCTTTCCCTCTTTGCGTTTTCTTTTCCGATGTGGCCACGGCCGTGTCACTCGCAACACCGTGCCTAATCGTGGAAACGCGACGGTCGCCACAGCCCAGGGCGGGGGGGCGGGGAAGGCATTCATTTCGTCCGCTTATAAAAAGGGGGGGGGGGATTGTTTGCGCCGCATCAAACGCTTCCCATTTATTTACCGCCTTCTCGCCATTTGCGTCAAGGCCGGCGCTTGACATTGTACACAATCGCTCGCTTCGACACGGTGAAGGCGGCGTTGGCCATCCCGCCGCAGCGGGCACAATGCGGTCGCCTGTTTAAAGCGATATTGTTTTGGGTTAATTGCTTGGCTGAACAAGCTCGTTTGGTCCCTCGCGGGGTCTCTCTTTTTTGCGGACCTCAGTGTCATTTTTAGGCCGTGGAAAGAGGCCGGCAAATCCACTTGTCGAGTTTGAAGTTGGCAGAGCAGGTGAGGCGTGCTGTCAGCGGCGCCTGACAGACCAACAGGTTCTCCGCATCTCGGGTTGCTCCGTGGTGCGGCCCCCAGTTGCGGCCTGGGAAAAGTGAGGAGAGAAGACTTTGCTCCGTCCACACCACCGGCCCGTGGCATTCTGCTGCCCCTGGAGACAATGGGCCGAAAATCTATCACGGAGGCAAAACAGAGGTGTTTGGAAACAAGCATTCTCCTGGGCTGTCAAGAGCTCGCTTTCACTGGCCTGAGCGGTGGACAATACTAGGGTCTGAGCCCGGCCCAGCCTCTGATCTGTGTCCCCACTGGCCCCACTGGGGACTGCCGCACGCGCACAAAACACTTCTTCCTCGCACTCGGTTTGTCCTTCTTCATCTCCGTGCCGTGGCCACACTTCGCCACCGCGCTGTGCGGTGGCGATCAAGGAGGAGGAGGAAGGAGGTTGGGTGGCGCCGCTCCCACCGTGTTTTCGCCAACGTGTGCCGCCGCGGCCACGGGGGGATTGTAAGCACCCGAGCATGCCGTATCCCTCGCAGCCTCGTCTCCCACCCCTCGGCGCCCGGTCCTCCCCCCCCCCCCCCGCCTTGCCTTTGTCCCCTAACGAATTGCTCTCTCAGCATGGTGTCCCTACTCCCTTTCTTCTCGATTGTCCATGCACCAAAAAATAAGCGGGAAGCATTCAAGTCAACCTTTCCCATTAGCCAAGCACCAACATAATTTCCTCAGATCTTCCCCTCGCGTACCCCGGAGGTGCAGGGCCACAGAAACGGGGGGCCGCCTCAACCTTTAAGTTTCCTCCCTGCGCCACTCTCGGCAGTCGGAGGTTGAGTCCCCGCTGTTCCCTGCATAAAGAACGATGTCCGGTGCGCTCTGCTCCCTGCTGCTAGGAGTTTGTTTCGTGGGCCAGGCGCTGGCACGGCTCTGCCTGTGCCAGTGCGACTGCGAGGTGGACGAACCCTCCCCGCGCCTCTTCACGCCGGGACAGTCGCGCCACTTTGCTGCCACTCGCGGCTCACTGCCACTCCACGCAAAACCGCGGCACCTTCTCAGCTGTGAGTACCGACCGCCTCGCCACCCCCCCGCCCACCCCCCCATCGTTCTCGCGTCTTGTGCCCGCTTCTTGCTCCTTCACTTACACCATCGCTCGCTTGCCCGCTCGCCCGCTCGCACGCTCGCTCGTTGCCCTATCTCGCCGGGCAACCGCAAGCCCCTTCTTTTGCTCCCTCTTCACTCCACCGCCGCGCCTCTCTGGTGGTGGCCGCGAGGTCCGGCGTGGCATTAAGTAACTCCTGAGCAAACACGGGGCCCTCTCTTCCCTCTCTTCAACGGCCGTCGAGTGTGTTGGTTTAAGTGCTGCGGGTGCCAACAAAAGGCAAAGGAAACAATCTGAAGGACTTTCCTCCGCAGCTCCTACTTAATTATTCGGGCAGGACTCCGCCGTAAAACGCCTGCTGCCCATTCACGAGTCGCTCTCCTCGGCGACACTTGCTTCAGCCTCCTCCTCTTCTTCTTTTTTTGTTAGCGGCGCTCCTGGGCCTCCCCCAGGAGCCGGCCACTTATTGGCCCCCCTTTGCTGCCCTCCGTGGCAGCCGGCCTTTGTGGCAGAGAGATCGAGTGCAGATTGAAGATGTGGCGCTGTTGGCCGGCCGCTCTCGGGATGGCGAGAGCGCTCCGTGTGTGCGGAATCGGCTGGCTGGAGAGGTTCCCGTAGATTGTGAGCGAACGAGTGAGTCTGTGAGTTTGTGAGCGTGCGTGCGTGTGCGTGTGAATAGGGAGCAAACACAGCAAGTTGGCACAGTAGGGGGCACAGCTGGTGCATCGGCCAGTCATCTCAGTCAGCCAACCCATGTTACCTGGGTCTGTCCCGTGATCTCCTGTCAGCGGGCGTTCAACACTTCACGTGGCCTTAAAGTGTACCCAGACTGGCACAATCACCGTGGTGACATAACGACCACTTAGTGGCGAATGGCGGTTGTTGTTGTTGTGCGTGTGAGCTGGTTGCAAGTAGGTGAGCGGTGAGCGTGTGCAGGGCCGTTTTGTCACATGGCCAAGGTGAAATTTTGTAGATACCCATCGGGCAACCGTAAGTAGCTCTGAATTAATTTTATTTGGTATTCCAGATTCCAGAAGTTGCTCCAAAATGTTTTTCAGCCCAAGTAATAGGAGAGTGAGCAATGTGGAGTTGACTTCACAGCACGCTTCGCCATGCGTTAAAGACGAGCGCGGCGTATGCGCGTTTTTCCCAATAAAAGAATATCCCGTGTGCAATGAAGTATGGCCCACAATCCAGTGACTCTTAAACTCGGGTTGATAGATGAGTGCTACCGCTGTGTAATGAGGCATGGACTTGTATGCGTGGGGTTTTCCTCAGGTACTAACAGATTCCGCCAACGTGCAGGATTACGAAGGAATGGGCCAAACACCTAAGCAGGCTTGCTGTCGTGCGAACGTAGTATCGGTGGCTCCTGCGGAGTCCTCTGGAGGCATCTGCCTCCTAGTTTGTCGTCGATGGTCGTAATTATTCCTGCACAGGCCGGCGACCGTGAAATTAAATGATGTCGGGGCTTAGAGACCCCACATTTCGTGAAGTTCACGCCATCCCCGGAGAGTGGTCCGTGTGCGATGTGCTGTTGCCGTGTACGGTTTAGCTATTTTTTTCGCTTACGTTGGATAATTGTTCTGTTTGCCAATTGTCCCTGCGAGGAGCCGTTGTGATGAGGCGATAAGTATAAAACGGTGCTTGCCCTTGAGCGAGGAACCTCAATGTCCGACGATGATGACACAGAATGCCGTACATCTCCCTCGCACTGCCATGTCCGTTGCAACGTTGGGATTCATGCACGTGTGTGTGTGTATGTGTGTGTGTGTTATCATTGTGGTGGGAGCGGTAGTGTAGCGGTTAGCGCGCTGCGCTAAGAACCCGGCGATCCGGGTTCGATTCTCGCTCATGACCAATACCAGTGACGATTATCTGAACCGGTCCTGGGCCTCCCCTATGTCGACTCAGCCTCAAATGAGTACCTGGCGCGGTGTGTAAACACCGTCACTGGGGAGACAAAGGGGGTCGGGAGTGGTGCTGGCCACCCGCCCCCTCGTGTACCGTTCCGGCCTTCATAGGTGCTCGCTAACAGCACTTGCCTCTACAGTCTGTTAAGGCTATACGGGGAATCTTTGTTTTTGTATTTGTTATGATTGTGGGGGAGCAGTGGCACAGTGGTTAGCACGCTGTGCTACGGACCCGGTGTTCTGAGTTAGTTTCCCATTCATGGCCAACACCCGTTACGATTCGCTTAACCGGTACTGCCGCCTCCCCTAGTACGATTCAACCTCAAGTACCTGGCGTGGTGTCTAAGCATTAGTATTGGGAAGACAAAGGCGACCGGGCGTTTTGCTGGCCACCCACCCCTCACGTGTGGTGTGGGCCTTCATAAGTGCTCACGAACAGCACTTTCCCCACAAGTCTATAATGCCTATGTTGGTGAAACATAAATGATTCCAAAGTATTGAAGGTGAATATTTTCGTCTTTAATTATGTTGAAAGATCTATCAGGGAGAAGACATTCAACAAATGATTAACTTAAAAGAAATATGTTCAAGAGTAATTTAAGATGAGGAAATGAAATGTGACATAAGCTTCTTTAACATTTACTTACTCACGAAACTAAATTCTCCTCCAATGGATGGATCACCAACAATGTGCAGCGTAAATCTGAGCAGTGTTCCAGATATAATTCTAAAGTGTGTCTTATTAATGTAATTTTATAGTGTGCTATTCTTTCCAGTGGCACACAAAACTCATGAATGAGGCTGGCATGATTATGTATTAAATGGTCTTGGTTTCACCCACTTTTACTTCGACAAATGTGTTTCTTTGCGTAAAGGCTGATTTGATTTTGTTCAGCAGATGTGATGAAAAGCGCTGCGCTCTAAAGGTAATTAACAATAAATTTTTAAAAGGTTACTCCGCAGACTCCATGTGGCGCTGTCGCCCCATGGCTCTTCCTGAAAATTAATCTGTCAGCCTTGGTGATGCACTGTACTGTAAGCTCGTAAACACTTCTGGGGAATGTAAATGCATCCGTGCGTCGTCCGTCTGTGATCTTCCGTCCGCTGTCCTTTTGTTAACCAGTTGTTGGCCTACTGTGAGTCAATGCTCTCGTTCTCCAGAGAGATGTTACTTGGGCATGGGCGTCATTATTAGAATTTTTATTTTGTTATTCATAATACTGTAATGATGTTTAAAAAGGCATCAATATCCCTTTGCCAATCTACCGCTGGATGAAGGCCTACTAATGCTGTGTCAGCGCTGGGGGTACTTTTACCATGCTGGTCAGTGCGTGTTGGTGAAGGGGGACCCATAATCGGTTCTGATATCACTCGCCAACTATATTCGCCACGGCCGGGAATCGAACTCGGGTCATTGGGTTCATAACACAACGCGATTAATACGCCAGTATTTCACCTCATTTGGAATTTTGGACTCTGGCACCTGCACGACATGAACTGGTCGCATGACAGACATCTCCCGGAGAATGCAATGTCCCGTGTTGTCACGGGTGGAGTGTTGTGTTCGGCGAGCCGCAGAATGAACCGCGAGGCGGCTGGCTGCAGCGTGAATCAAACGGCAGCCGTCGTGCAAGCCGGCCCGGTGGCGAGTGCGCGGACGGCCCAGGTCACCTGTGCACCCCCCACACACCAAGTGCGCCGCATTCACAACAATAGCACGTCCACCTCACACTCTGAGCTCAATCCTCCATGCGATTCACATTGCCTTCCATTTACCTGTCCGTGGACACATTTACCTGTCAAGCGATTGTTTTGCCCGCGAATTCCGTAGCTGTTTCGGTGTTTTGAAATTGCAGGATTAGAGAAGATAAAAAAGGGTCTGTGGATGAAAGAGCATCGTTATGTGCAATGATGTTACATTTGAAACGCTGTAAGTAGCCGAGTCATTTTTATTTTTAGAATCTACGCACATCGGCAGCGTCTTGAACGCAGAAAAATGTGGTGCATTACTGCTGCACTGCCTAAGTAACTTGGATTTTTCAGATTCGTATTGGGAGCATTGACCTTGGCCTATAACCTCTTACCCCTAAAAAGAAAACAAGCCCCTGTGAGATATCAAGATCATAGGAATGTCTTGAGAGTGTCAAGACTGGTCAAATCGTTGTGGAGATACCGTTGGCACAGATGGAATGTTTTGGAGTGCCGTGACCCGTGGCCTAAAAAAACAATCCTTGGAGAGTCGCTTTAGACTGAGGTCATCCCCAGAGATTTGTCAAAATTGGTCAAATGGTTTAAGAGTAGGGATGGCCAGACGGTCGGAGATTGCTTATGCGATCTGTTCACTTGGTGGGTGGGTGGTTGTGGTGGTGGGGTGGGGGGGTAGTAGGCCAGGGGGGAAAAAAGGCCTTATTAATGCATGCAGCACCACGCTCACTGTAGAACATAATACAGATACTAAAACCGAGATGCCAAAAAAATATACCAGCCAGCAGTTCCAGAGGAATGATAATTACATGGTACCAGAGATGAGAGACGTTTGACTGCCGGGATATCGTTAGCTGGAGTGCACGCTATTTCCAAACGCACTCTATTTATGTTTAGTTTGTTAGGCGTTAAAAATGCAAAACACGTAATGTCCGTAATATTTGGAGCTGGCACGGCGCTTAATGGCAATTAGCGGTTGAAACGCAGTTCGTTGCGCGTGCAATTACAAATCCCGCGAGCATTGTGATGTAATTAAAAACAAACACTCGTGGGTGGAATTGGGGAAATGAGCATTTTTAAATGAGATTTTGGAAAGTAAAAAGAAGGGGGGAATTCAAAAGAATGTATGTATAAAACAAATTTATTCAACAATAAGCATCACTGAAATATGTTGTTACAGAAATTATTGGGCCTCCTGAGAAGCCCCATTTGAGACTGCGCGAAGGCGCCATTGCTAAGGAAGTTGTGACAATCTCATTAATACGGCGTTTGCTCAGGATTTCTTGGTATTTATGTTGCCAAATAAAGGGGACCGTTTCCCACCACGTGCCTCAAATTAAAGTGGTCAAGCATAGTGGTGACAAATCGTCCCTCAGTCTCGTGAGCAGAATTAATATAAAATGAATGTCGCAGCCACAGTGACGCATTAGAAAATAACCTGTGGCTAATGACAAAATAATAATGGTAACTGGCCCTTGATGGGATTGTAGCTCAATGCCTCTTGCAAAATAAATCACAAATCTTATCAAGCTATTTATAATGAAAATGAGTTTCGTTTAATTTGACATTGACAATTCGATATTGACACTAACTATACGAGTAAATAAGAGAATGTGAGATTGAATGCCAATGTGTTCAATAATGGGCACAATAGAAATCTCATGACATTGATGTAATGAGACACAATGTAAGGAGTGGTCAAGTCAATCATTGAAACCTGCTGCTTGCATGCAGCCTTGTGGCTACCGGCAGCCATGGATTCTACACTTGATTGAACAACATATTGGTAATTTACAGTCCTTTGTCAATCCACTATTGGAAGAAGACCTCATCACTGGCTTGCTATCCATATGATTGGCATGACCATATTTGACCACGAAAGTCAGTGTAGGTTGGTGAAAGATGTGTGGCCGTGACCGCAATTAAACTGAGGCTGCCGGGTTCATTGAGGAGTGTCCGAATCACCGTGCCGCGATGATTAAATAATAGGCATTTAATTGAATGTTTGTTCACTTAGGTAGACATATGAATGAGTCACTATTTACTAAGAGCAATCTTTTGCTGGGCCACAAACGTTGCGATGGAGCAAGGCTTGCTTGGGATCCAATAAATAAGTGGTTCTTGTTGAGAGGGCATAACACGAGAAATTCCCACAACCATTACTTCGTGAAATCATCGAGTGTGTTTCGACTTTACGTGACAGCACTTGGCTCTGGGTAGCTGTTGATGTTTATATTCGTGTGCCTTGGCTTTTATGCCGTTCTTTAATTTTTTTTATTCTATCTATCCGGCGCGTATAGCTGGGAAGGATGGCGGTGTATCCCCTGGGCGCACTGTCTACCTTTGGACACTCGTGGGCGCTAACGCTCTGTGACCGAGCCCCCTTACCCTCGCCACGTGGTTCTAGCGCGCCCCCTACCACCGTCCACGCGCTCGCAAAAACCGGACTACTCACTCGGTCAACTCTCGCTTATCCGGGGTAATTGTCTGGTCGGAAGGGTTGGTCCGGTTAAAACAACAACAAACAAACGAATACGGATAATGCCAAATACACGCGAGATGCCAAATGTTAAAACAACAACAACAACCCATGTATGTGTATTGCTTACCAATGGAGAGCGTGGGTGAAGACGAAGAAAGCGTGGGATGTTTGGCCAGCAAAACCGCGAATGTTTGGCTTCATATGGCAGGAAACCAGGAGCACCTGGAGGGAAACACGCGCAGATGGATTCAATCAGCCGCTGTACCCGCCACCTGATGGTCATCTCACTGCCCAAGCCTAACACAACACCTGGTTGTTACCAGGCGGTCTCTCGTCCACGCACGAAAGCTTGATCCTGGCCTAGCTTGGTGAGATGTGGCGAGATCGGGGGGCATTTAGGCTGCTTTGGTCTGTAACGTAAAGTTTGAGTATACACAAATAAAATACACTACACAGTTCATACTCTTTGGTTCTTTCGGTAAAGTCACGTAGGTATAAAGTAAAATAAATCACGACGTTTCAATTGCAACACGAGCAATCATCATCAGGTGTGAAAACCACAGCAAGAATCCCTGCAGTCACGACAACTTCAAATCTAGATTACTACACAGTTCATTTGGATACAACCACGAGCTTACTGCTGACTGCTCACTGGGGCAATCCTGCCACTCTGCACCACAGGAGTTACGTTCTGCCTGTTGTATACACAACACGTGAGAGACACAAGATTGGTAATCTTCCCATGCGTGAAGGGCCTTACCCAGGTATGCTGGGGCACATTTGACAGCAGGCCGTGTATTCACTGTGTTTGCTGCACATGTACGGAGCAATTGTTTATATTTTGGGCTATGTGTGTGTTGTGTATGCCTGAATCGCGCGCATGCCTCTCTTGTTGAGACGCGGCCATTCACAGTGACTCCATGAGTAGATAATTTAGTGCCACCAATAATCCTGCACCACCCTCCAGCTCACACTTATAATCCTATAGACCGGGCCAATAACCCAACTCCCAATCTATTGGCCAGACCGTGACTTTATCACCGATTCTACAGCCCAGACCTTGATCTCAGCATTCACATCTATGCTCCCACCTTGATCAACCCGTACTAACCAGCACGTTGAAGTATGGTTACACAACCCCTCTGACCCGGTCTTCATCCAGGACGAGACCGGTGGAAGGGCTGTACATGTACAATGTAACAGTGCGGTTGGGATTTTAAAATTACTCTTTTGATTATTATCTTCACTCACATGTGCAAGCGTTACTCCCAGAAGGCATTCTACAGTTTGTAAATGTTATTTTTTAAAGGTTATGAGTTAGCATAGTCTGCAGTCTATTTTGGCTGTCTATAATAATTTCCTGACGAAGACCAGTAACCTAAAACGTCGAGTAAAAAAAACTATGGTTGTTGTCAAGGACCACTGAAGCTTTAATTTTGAATAAATGTTGTGTCATCGTAGCATCGTGTGGTCTGTTAAAATTATTTCCTGATGTTATTTAAAAGAGCACTCCATATTGAACATGGAGCCCTGTTCAGCATAGTTCGGCCTAGCAGCATGTCTAATAAACAAAATATTAACACGTTGGCTTTGGCGACCAATATGATTTATGATTGATTTCTGGGTTAGGTCACACATCAGTAAATTATGTGCAATTGTCCGTTAGTTTCCATTATAAATCAACGCAAACACCGGAACATTTCCACAGAAGCTGTTAGATGCAATCAAACACTGGAGAAAACCCCACGCACACGAGGGAGACACCACGAAATATACATTTTAAAAAATCCGTCCCTGATGGATTGGCAGCATGCTTGCTGTAGTGCCATCTTCTGGTCACCAAATATCTCTGCGGGCCGAGAGTCTCGCAGATTTGTAATGATGACGGCGATCTCTTCCTGATACCACCAAACGCGCTTTTCCAAGGCAGCTGAATTATGATTATTGGCCTGAGCCACCGCGCCTGGCCCAGCACACGCATCTCTTTTCCGACCGGGAGCTTCCGGGCCAAACTGCCGCAGGCAACGGCAGCGTTCGGTCCCTGAATGATGTTAACGACTCAAACTACGTCCCCGGGACATTGCGACAGTGGCACGCGCGAACTAATAACCACGTGTGTCATGTACGTCGGCGCACCCATCAAATTATACAGCTTTGCAATTACCGTGGTAATTGAAGGTATTATTAGAACGGGGAGAGATGATCATTGCGCAACGTGCCATTGTTACGGCAAAAAAACACAGACATCTCGCTGGAAATGAATGTCGACTACACAGCAAAAGTGAAAACTGTGAATACGTGTGTCAAGTCAAGCAAGGAGAGCCTCCTTTTAAAAGGCCACAACATCCCCACGAGTATCTCACTTGGGCTGAAACACAGCCCAAGCACACAACGCAATAAAAAATAAGTAATATTTAAAAACACTTTTTAAAAACACGCTTTTGTGAAATGTACTAGTAATGGTAGAACTCCACGATTCCAGGAAGTGGCCCGAAGCTTGCCATAACGTAAGGGGCCTTGGCCAATTACAGCCAACGTCAGTTGAGCGTGGACAATTAGACCCAAGACGAAACATAACATATAAAAAATAATGTTTAAAAACATTTGTTTGTATTTTCTATGATATCATATAGTATTGTCATCAGTATGACATAAGTATACCAAGTTTGTAGTCGATACCACATTGGGAAGTGGGTTTAAATTGAGTTGCAAGATTTGAGGATACGACAACAACAACAGTGAGTTAAAAGAAAGCGTGTTGGTCACTGGGGTTGTTCGACCATACTTCGCCACGCTGGTCATTGCGGGTTGGCGATGGGTGGGCAGGATCGAGAATAACACAAATTTAAGTCTCCGACTTCATTCCGCAAGTGAGCTAACCACTGCACCACCGCCCCCCCCCCAAACGCCCTCCCCACCTATAACACAATCCACTAACATTCCTACGGGTAACATAGTGCAGTGTAGCAAATGACACAAAGGCGGTTTTCATGCGAGACCCCCCCCCCCCCCCCCATAAAACCTTGCTCTGATTTTCGCCGCGTTCTTAGAGAGCCATTGTATTGAACTGCCATTGCCGTGCGTAATGTCGCATGTTTAACTGGCGTTCCATTGCCCTGGTCTATATTACAGTTTGCTAAAACAAATAAATAACTATACCCAACCCCCTAACTAATATTGGAGCCAAGATATTAAATCACGCCACGCCGCGGCTCCCCCGCACCCATTAAAAACAAGTTTGGATGGATATGACTTAATTGTGCAATTCTTGTTCAGCTATCCGTGCCGAGTGAAATGGATCACACGCACACACAAAAAAACAGCTTTGAATTGTAATACCGTATTCTCCACATTATAAGACGCCTCGGAAAGTATAGACGCACGCCACCACATTTGTACCCCCCCCTCCCAGCGTCAATAAAGTGAAATCCATTTTGGTCACAAGCAAAACATGACACACCGGATTATAAAACGCACCCCCAACGTTTGCTTTCGAGAGTGGGGGGGGGGGGGGCGACTGTGCGTCTTATAATCCTGAAAATAGTTCATTCATTCAGGGGGCCATCGGTTTGACCAAAGGCACAGAAAAAAACAACCCAACAGAATACATGAGGTTTGTATATGCTGCATTGTTGCGTACTTTGTTTGAGACATTTTCATGGTTCGTCTGTGCGCCGAAGAAGCCACCATCAGCCACGAGCCATCCGGCGCTGGGTTTGACGGTCATCCATCCCCCCAATAAGCCATCGTCGCCATCTCTCTGGGTTTCTGCGATGGAACGAGCCCACCTCGGCTTCTTCGTGATTTTAGGGCTCCGTCTCCGCGTTGGGCGACCCACTCTCGTTGGCCACGTTTTACCAACCCGCAGAACTGGCGTCTGAAAGCAAGGCAGATGTCGTGTCCCCACACTTACTCCCCCGCCTCCCCCCCCCCCGTAATCTTAAATCTAATTACAGTCCTACAACAGCTCCCGCCCCACCGCCCCCACGCTCTCCACGTCCTAATTTTAAGAGGGCTCCTTTTAAATTGGTGAAGCGAGCCGATGTTGTCCCCGAACAGCCAATTTGGTTTTCGCTATTCAGTTAAATACGAGTTCTCACATAAAAAAAAATCCCAGTCCTTTTAAGTTGATATATCACGTCGTTCCCAATGTTAAGGGAGGGTTGTCCACAGGCGTATTGGATTGCCTTGCAGATTACCTCTCGTCTGTGGCTCTGTCTACCAGCCACGCGCCTCGCTACTCAGGTGTGCCACAAGCGAACCCGGGGAAAATATTCAGTGAGAAATTAATCCCCGACGATCACCCACACACACACGTCACGTGCGTGCCCGTATGAGGAGCGGTAGCGTAGTGGCTAGCGCGCTGCGCTACGAACCCGTCGTGCAGAGTTCGATTCCCGCTCACGACCATCAACGCCAGTGACCATTATTAACTGTACCGGTCCTGGGCCCCTCCCCTAGGTCGACTCAGCCTCAAATAAGCATCTGGCGCGGTGCGTAAATTTCGCCGGGAGGGAGACAAAGGCGGCCGCGCGTGGTGCTGGCCACTTACCCCCTCGTGTGCCGTGCCGGCCTTCGTAAGATGCTCGCGAGCAGCACTTGCCTCAACAGTTTGTCAAGGCTATACGGGGCATCTTTGTCTGTACGTGTGAGTGCACGTGCCGTCCTGCAGTGGGGTTGGGTTCACTGCACGTTTAGCGGTAATAGGGTGTGTGTGGCAATTAGGGAATGACAGTGATTTTAACCCGAACAGCCACGTGTAACTAAAACATTCGTTTCAATCGACCTAGACTTTCAATGCAACCCCTTCGCCACGGCACAATTAACGCCCCCCAATGATACCTCCATCTTCACCGCTGCCGGCCCCCTCATTCGCAATCTCCACCTCCTCCTGTTCCTCCCCCCCCATCAACCACTTTGTTATCTCAACAGCCTCTTACTTAATGTGCCTTCCCGCACCTCCTACTCCTCTTAATATTCCACCTCCTGGTAGGTCACTCTCTCTCTCTCTCTCCACCTCCATCCACTCTGACGCCCATCCTACTCCAAGTCCCACCAACCTCTAGAGCACCTCCACGGACGTTTTTTGTAACCACCTCTTGGCCTCGTTCTACACCGTCCGTTTCTTCATCATCATCTCATCCACCACATTTATTTACTCAATCCCGTCCCACCGACTCACCCCCCCCCCCCCACTTAACCACCCAATAGTTCCAACATTTAATGAAGACGATTATGAACCTTTGGACAACCACACACCGTATGATGCTGATCATAGTGGCAGTGATTGGTGGCTGTGTATGAAGGTACGGAGGATTGCGACGACGGTGACGATGATTACCTGGGAGCGGTGGCGCCGTGGTTAGCGCACTGCACTACGATATAAACCCGTAGAGTCCTGAATTCGGTTAAATCGAGTGTTATCACCACCGCTCCTGTGCTTGAAACGTGCTCGAAGAGGAGGCCTTCATCCAGCAGTGGATTGACAAAGAGGACTGTAAACAAAACGGAGTGCGTGGACAATCCACGCGTCTCCTTCGCCAGCCGTTCCTCTATCCTCACATGCGGCTACATTCCATCCGACCACGACTCCCATACCCCCCCCCCATCCACGCGGACATCTCCCCGGTTCAGCAACATCCTGTCGGGCACCGTGTTGTTGTCTGCCTGCCTGGCTGGCTGGCTTACCTGATGAATCAGCCGCCGAAGGTCCCTCCTCCGGCCTGCCTCTCTGCGTCTCGCGTCTCTCTCTCTCTCTCTTTTGTTTGCGTAACGTCTCCTTTGTGGCGCTTTGGAACAAGCTGTCGACGAACACACATACAGTGCATACAAATATATACACTCTGCTGTACTGGCGTTCCCTTTGTGGGCTTTATACTTCGCACTCCGCGGGAGGCGAATTATTTGGTTCACTCACGATGACAATTGTATGTATATATATTTAAAAAAAAGTGTTTATCATGAGACTTGAGCAATGCAGAACTTTAGGCTGTCGCTGCCTTCCACCCACCCCCTCTCCAATGGGTTAAACAATCACCCCCCCCTCCCGTCCACTCCAGGCTGCTGTACCATATTGTAACGTTCTAACATAATGCTGTGTGTACAGACATGACAACGCGACTGTGAGTCTCCTTCAATACACACCCGTCTCTGCACGTACAAATCAAGAAAGCATGCGTGCCACAATGCATAGACCCCACGCGGTCTTCGAGAAGCGCATAGTTTCAGCAGCTTTGATTCAGTGTAAGCAAAGCTCTGGACCGGTTTCGACACAACGCGTCTCATCGGCGGTCACAGGCTTGCTTGCTTGAATCAATGCTGCCGAAACGCCAGGAGTTGTGGGCCAGAGGGTCCCTCTCGTCTCGTTAAGATGTCGGTTGGGCGTTGTAGCTCTTCAAGAACACGATTTGGATTTTCGTGACTCGGTCTTCCGTGTGTTACATAAATTGTAACTGAGTTCAGTACTGCGAGATGACCCCGACGACACCGCCAGTGGTAGTTGGTATCTAAACCCGCGCTGGGCATCCTCTAGGTCGACTCGGCCTCAAATGGGCATAGTACTTCATTACAATGATGTTATTATTAGAAACAGTACCGCGATTGAGATGAAGGTGGTCCTGTTCTCCACCACGTTACCCATATTGAGTGCCGAACTTAAGAGGTGCTCGCAAACAGCATTTGCCCCTACACAATACACGAGGCTGAATGTAGAGCATATGGAGTTCGATCCAAAGGCTCCGAGAACTAATAGACCAATGGGAAAGTCGTGTTAAGTGTGCTTACAATCAGCCACAGATGGACACATGTATATGAATCCGTAAGATGTGTTACTACAGGCAAAGTCTGGACTGGTTTCGCTCTACTCGGGCCTCATCAGCAGCCAGGCGAGCTAGAATCCTGCTGGTTTACCAGATGTTATTGGCATGAGCCTCTCTGTTATCTACACCATGGGCCGTCATTTCAACAACAACAACAATATTGGAGCGGAGCATTCTTGAAAATGAATAGGTCAAATTCCGCTCAGTTTCGCCACTTAAATAAAACATATTTTTGTCTGCCAGCCAATTGCTTGTTTTGCTTAAACACCCGGATAGATGTACTGTACAATGTATCGCCCCTTTGGGGTTCATCAGCAGTCAGACACGCCAAAAGCTACGCGCAGGAAGGCGGCTTTGCTAATTGCGAATTAGGCAAAGTATTTCAGCATGCTCAACCTAGAACGCCAATTACGATGGCAATGTGCACGAGTTTCTTTACTATGATTTTTCTTATTGCCTTTTATATAAAACGCACAGCCTACGACGAAGTGACGCGAGACGTAGCCTGACCTCGTCAGGTCTCGGAAGCTACGCAGAATGTTGTACTGTACTGTGCTCCAATGGCTATGCTCCCTCTGCCATCACCAACCCACAGCGAGCAGCGTGGTGAATGAAATATGGTCAAATGACCGGCCAAGACACGGCTGTCATCCAGCAGTGGATTAACAGGGGCAAGAGCGCAGAAGCGTGGTCACCACATCTACGCCTCTATATAAGGAACGAAACAGGCGGACTTCTCCATAAATCTGTCTGCCGCCTGATGAAGCTGGTTGTAATTACTGGCGAAACGTCGTACGTGGTTTGCAAATGTTGTGGCTTGGCTCTCCAACACACCGGTGTGCTGTACTAGTGACGAATTGGCCACGTTCTGTTTACGTGACAAACCTTACGAGTTGGCTGTGTCGGGTGGTGGCGGGTTTTAACGACACATTGATATATTTACGCGATCTAACCCAAAAAAACTCTATTATGGATAACAGAGGGCTGTACGTGTATACACATGCATCTCCACATAAATTAGTATTCATATCGTCGTAATCACAGTAAACTCCTTTAATTAATTCAGAAAAGCCGTGAGTTTGAATTATGGCCCTGCATTTGTGGATGTTTGCCTAATTCCACACTAATAGGGATCGTTCGGCACACGAGATAAGAGATTGTGAGCGTCAGTGTATTTAAAGCGGCATGGTTAAATACGGTAATAATACCCAATCGATTTAACTGCTCGCTGCCGTGAATTGTGTCCATAGCGAGAACGGAGTCTCGGCGTGTTGCCTAGTGCCACGTGCAGTATACACAAACAGCAATTGCACAGTACATAATGACATAGACTGCGCGCATTATATACTGCAGTGTAGACCTATCGTGGAATGTAGGCCGTTAAGAGTTGAGCCGCCTCCGTTGTGTGAACATCACCGCCGACAAATGTTTGCGAGCCTGTGCAATAGCTGCGGGGAGGTGGAGGGGGGTGGGTGGTGTTCGCTGTGTCCACGTGAGTACAATGAGAGTTTGCGAGTGACTATTACACGCCAGCATGGCACGTGAGTGGGCTGTGTCTCCAACATCAGCGCGCGGTGTCTTTGTCTCTCTGCTCAGTAACCCCACTCCCCACCACCCTCACTCACATTCGTCAATGGCACTGCCTTACAAACAGAAAACAATGCGTACAATATTATTTGGGTCTTTCGGTAAAGTCACGTAGATAGGTTCAAAGGAAATAACAAAAATCTACGACGTTTCGATCACAACACAAGCGATCTAATCACAACACAAGCGATCGAATCGCTTGTGTTGTGATAGAAACGTCGTAGTTTTTTTGTTATTTTCTTTGAACCAATCTACGTGACTTTGCCGAAAGACCCAAAGAATATGAATTCCTGCAGTCACGAAAGCTTTAAGTCAAGATTTATTGTGTACAATAGGCTGACGTTTCGGGCAATGGCCCTCTTTTTCAGAGCAGAGAGGGTGTGTGTAGTTTACGCCGCAACTAGCCTTACTCATTTAAGATGGCCAACGTTTTGCCAGACTTATAATTGTATTCGAATAAGTCTTAATGTTGAACAATGTATTAAGACGGGAGCGAATGTAAGTACGTGCTGTCATGGGCATGCATTTACTTCGATACGCGGTTCAACAGATGCACTCACGCAGCGCTTACGAGCTCTCCCGTGCCTTTTCGTGTTGTTCGGAATGTTGTCCGACGTTTCGATCCACGTGCTGGGAGCTTTATCAGGAACTAAATCGATTACAATCGCGTTGCCGGCTTCTGCCGGATTCTGATGTCGAGCCGACTTCAAATCAATTCCCGAAGAAGCTCCCCGCGCGTGGAGCGAATCGTCGGACATCATTCCGAACAACACGCGCAGTACGACCCATGCAGCCGAACCGTACGACAGCTTATTACGCAGTCGCAACGAAGCAAGGGGGCCGCACACCCCTGCAATGTCGCCACTTCTGGCGCGATGGGCCGTCCACTAGAGGGAGCTCCAGAGAGCCCCTAAATAGGACATCTTTGGCCTACTCTTCCACGCTGCCAAAATGTCTTGGAAGAATGGTGAGAGTACCCACGCTTTACCCCCACCATAACGATGTCGTGACCCATTTAATACTGCTGAGGTCGACGAATGCGCTTGGGGAATGGTGTGGAAGTAGCGGGGGGCGGGTGGGTGGGTAAGATTCGTGCACGTCGTGTTAACTGCCGCGTAGGGAGAACGACGAATGAAACCGGCGACCCGTGCACGTCCCGTGTGCAGCTACGGCATTGCCGGTCATAATGAGCAGCGGTGGTCATCGCGTTCACTCAACGCAGCACTCGCCCGGACGCGAGCAAACAACAATCCGCCGCCACCCAAACAGTAGAACCTCCCACACCAGCAACCACCACCAACCAGCCACCAACCCCACCCCCACCCCCCACGCGCGGAGTCCGAATGGAACGCGCCGCTCGCTGCTGAGAGCCGAGAGCGAGGAAGAGGAGGAGGGAGGGAGGAGCTGAGAGTGCGAGGCGCGTGGTGAGTGTGTGGGGGAGCGGGAGTCCCCTCGCGTGTTGGGCGCGCTCGCTGCTCTCTGCGCAACGTGCGCTCATCACCAACAACCACCACCAACAACAACAGCAGCAGCAGCAGCAACAACATCATCATCAACAACACCGGCCTCATCATCGTTTGTCGCAAGACGCAGTGGAACGGACGCGAACTCGCTTCGGAACGGACGCGACTTCCCCCGACTTGACTCGAACCGCTCCGACCCGACGCGACCCAAAGCCGGCGAACGCATTTGCGCTCTCGCCTCTCATCCGTCGGCCGCGCGTGTCCGTGGAACTGGGTGGCTGGCAGCTTGGTGTTGGTGGACTTTGGCGACGGTCCAGCGTTGAAAGCTACGACAGCGATAAGCAGCAGCGACGAGCAGCAGCTGTAGTTTAAAGCGCAAGTCTTGCGTAAGTTGCGCGCTCACAAACCCTCCCGAGCGAAGTGCGTGAAGTCGTGCGCAACGCGTGCCGATTTGAGTTTGTTGCGTGAAACACGGTACGCGTTAACTGGAATGCAGTATTTATTTTAACGTACGGACGTTCCCTTCTTCTTGACTCTTTTAAAGAAAATAGGAGCCGATCGGAATAGGAAGTTAAAAAGAAAGCAAAGCTGCGGCTTCATTCGAATGCGTTAAGCCCATTCATTCGCGTGGAGGGACTCGACACGGGGTGTCCATGCGACCATCGGTGCTTCAGTGTGTATCCCGATAATTATTATTGCCATTATTTAATTTAACTTTTACAATCGTCGCAAAGAGAAGACGGCATCGTCCATACCCTTCGCCCTCCTGCCATCCGCTCTCCTCTCGGCTGGGAAAGGTTTCGACTAGCGGCCGCCGTGTGTCTTCGGGAGGAGGAGGAGGGAGATCCGAGTGATTGAGTGAGCGGGGGAGGAAGGGTTGAAGTTCCGTTTCATCGAAGGAGAGGTGGGAGGGGGGAGGAACTGCAGCATCCTGGTGTGTGTCTCCCCCCGACTCAAGCAAAACAACAAACAACTCCTTAAAGTGAAGACGACTCAAGCAAGCGCGACGCCACATCGCGCGACAACGCGAATGGGTCCCGGAATCTTCGAGACGAATTGACATTCTTCGAAGGAGCGAGCGCTTGAGGAAAGCCTGTGGGCAGGACGATAGACGTTTACACAAGTGGACCCCTCGACGAGGACACGTCGAGCCTTGAGCTAAAGGGAACTTTTTTTTACGGAGGAGCCACTTCTTGTCGACGATGAGAACGAGACACCTCCATGCGTGAACCTTGCCTGAGAGAAACATTTGAGGATGAAATCCTTTTGAAGAGGAGCAGGGAAGACATCTGAGCGAGGAAGAGCAGCGGAAGGATAAGAGGAGGATCTTCGTGCGAGTGGTGCCTTGACCAAAGCGTAGACCCTGTCGTGACCACCAATCGTCATCATCGCCACCACCATCACCACCTCCCCTGGAGCTGTCGAGCAGAAGTTGTGGTGGGTTAGAGTCGAACCCCCATTGAGGGGACCCGCGTAAATCGATGCGGCAAGTTCTCACGTCGAAGGACTTAGAACCGCGAAAGAAAATAATTAAGACTTAAGCTCATGAACCTTTCAACCACATAAATGCGAGTATCGTAGCATCACTAATCTCCAATTTTTTGAGCGACGGACGGACTGGGTGTGGACAATGGGAGGCCGCTTGCATCTCATCGTCTGTCTGCTCGGTGGCATCGTCCCGCACGCCCTGGGTAAGTCAATGTGTGCCGTGGAAGTGTACGTTGACCTTTTTTTCGCACCGTACGTAAGCCGCCAACCGTGATAATCGGCGGTGCGTTGCCCCCGGTCTGACCGCGGAGGCCGATCCGTTACGGAAATAATTGCTCTTTCAATACAAATACTGTTTGAACTATTCTACGATGTTTTATCTTCGGTAAAGCTGTTATCAGTTTGGAATGGTTCCGGGGGCGCGGGGGAGGGGTTGGTTGATGGGGCATTTAAAAAAACTCGTTGCTTTTGGAAAGATAATCGGAACGCATTTTCGATGTTGCCCCGAAATGTCACAAACTTCTGGCTCATTTCTGTTGAGCTGTGGCAAGGTTTTTGTTATTTTGTTACCTCCCTCTCCCATTTGTTAAACCATCACGCGTTTAGCAAAGGAATTTGAGTGGCCGTGAGAGATTATGGGGGGGGGGAGCGGGGTTGGGGTGGGGGATGAAATTAATCCAGCGGTGGATTGATTCTGGCTGTGATGACGAAACAGTCACTGGAGTGAGGCTTTGGCGGCGGGTGCAGTGTTGAAGCGGCTTCTTCTTTCTCTCGCAAATTAGCATCACCATAGCATGGCACCAGGGGACACGCCACCACATACAGCGTGCGTCTTAAAAAGAGAATCGTGGATATCGAGAAGCGCATTCCACGTGAGAATCTCAAACAATTCGGGCGTTTAGACACGTTTTTAGGAGATTGCGTAAATAATGTGGTTATAATTGACAACTGTTACACGCGTAGAGCTATAATGTACGGTACATGTGTGGCTGAGAATAAAATACATGCACATTGTGAATGTACACAGATAAATAACACAACAATTGGCCCTCTGAAAGATATGATACAATAGCACGTAGCAAAGTTATGTTAAATGCACAATCCTGGCCAGATTTAATGTAAACGTGGCTAGGTTTAACGAGACATTTGTTACAAAAAAAAAAACCGAAGCCAAGTTATGTAAAATGGCAAGGTCTGTGAAGTTGTAATATAATACGGTGGTGACTAAATTGGCACAGTTGGGGGCCAAATGTACAAGGGGCTAAAATATATCCAGAAGAAAAATCCTCCACAAGGCGTGATGAAAAGTGACCAGGAAAAACAAGACATAATTGTGGGAAAACATATCCCAATCCTTCCTTAATCTTTGCGACAGGATCGAGGAGCAACCTCAATTAGAATAATAGGCAATTTATTGGGTCAGCCTAAAGCATTCCACCGGCCCTTAAAGCAGCATCTTGAAACAGGCACAATGCAATTATAAGCACTCGTGGCTTTGGAGGGCGGGGGGCAGTTTATTAAACTGGGAAATTGATGGTTCCATTGCTCGGAATGAACATTCGACTGGGCAGGAAAAAAAACCACAAGCGAAACTCACATTATTGGGTCTTTCGGTAAAGTCACGTATATAGGTTAAAAGAAAATAACAAAAAATAACAAAAGCTATGACGTTTGCGATCGAAACGTCGTAGTTTTTAGTAATGTTTTTGTTATTTTCTTTGAACCTATCTAGGTGACTTTACCGAAAGACCCAAGAATATGAATTCCTGCAGTCACGAGAGCTTTAAGACAAGAGAAACTTTTATGCACGCACAAAGTTGCAGAGCGGTGTGATCGCGCGCTCATTGAAAGGAGGTTCTCGTAACGCGTTCGTGTGATTGATATCATATACACATCACACGGGGCGCCACGGTTGCGAGATGTTAATTAGCTCGCCTGGTATACAGGAAGGAGGTCGTGGGATTCCATCGCGACCCTGACGCCTGCATATTTGGAGTTTGCGTGCCTCTCTCCCCGTGGTCGCGTGGATTTGTCTCTGAGTCCTCCGGTTTTCCCTCTACATTGAAAATCAACGTGCGTTTAGAGTATTTGGCTGCTATAAAATTCCACGTGATAAGCCACTTCATTGAGCTATCATATGTGGTTAGGTCGCTTCTGAAAAAGAGTTATATCGTTCAGTGGGCCTTACCTGTTAAAATAAAAAAAATAGTTACAAAATATAGTAGTTTATATGTGAAGCATGTTTTCCATACACTCCCCACATCTCGATCCAACGGTGGGTTTGGTCTATACCGGAGTACACATGTAAGTGTATATTGTATACATAGAGCCTGAACAAATGACCACTGTTTATAAAGTGGAGGAGGGGTGGTTTCTGGGTCTCATTTGTACGTATTCCGACCACAGCATGGGATGTATGAGAGTGTGTGTTGGTAGTGAGGAGCGGTGGTGGAGCGGTGATGTAGCGGTTAGCTGCGCTGCGCTACAAGCCCGGCGACCTGAGTTCGATTCCCACTCACAGCCACCAATACTAATGACGATTATCTGAACCGGTCCTGGGCCTCCCCTAGGTCGATTCAGTCTCCCATGAGTACCCGTTGTGGTGTGTAAACATCGCCACTAGGGAGACAAAGTTGGCCGGGTGTGGTGGCAGGCACCCAACCCCTCGTGTGCCATGCTGACCTTCATAGGTGCTGGCTGAAAGCACTTGCCCCTACAGTATGTTAAGGCTATAGGGGGTCCTTTGTATTGGTAGTGCCATTGGCTTATATGATTCGTGCGACTTGGGGTTCAATTCCTGATTGGGCACGAGACTCAACTAGTGGCAATTGGTATCAGGCCTTGCCCCCGTTTTCCATAGATCAGCTCAGCCCTAAATGTGCACGTGTATAGCCACCAACAGCGATGGGTAGAAAAAAACCCAGCTGATCCTGTGTGGTATTGGCCACACCACCACCTCATGTGCTGTCATCATAATCGTTATCAGCCACTGCTGGATGAAGGCCCCCATGCGCCAATAAACCGCCCTTCACGGTCTATCGCTGTCAAAACCGCATCTCACTCGAGCACGCGAACTGGTCTCATCACTGTCATCTTTCCTGTTGTGGTCATCCCCTCGGATCCCTTCACTCATTTGGCTGCCATTCCGTCACCAGCCTCGTCCATCGGCCATCACCTCCTGCCAAGGCCCATTACTTACATTAACGCGCACCGGCATAACTTGCCCTCTGCGGTGCATTCCGGATACAGTAACTCGATGTGGAGTCGGGGGCACCTTTGCCTTTATATTTTGTACGGAATGGGCGGGGGCGGCGGCGGGGGGGATCGGAATTGGTTGGCGGAACAAAAAAAACCACGGGGCCACGGACAAACGCTCTCATTTGGAATTAAAATCCCAAGGGGACCCGCGGATGTGTGCAGACATTTCCTCCTCAGGGCCCTCGGTGAGGCAATGCGGTGACGCCCTCCGCCTGTGTTAATGTCCGCGACTCCTTTTGTGGATGTCTGTCTGGGACCCATCACTCGCCTCTGTGTGTTAGTGGCCAGAGCAGCGTCGGCGATGGACAGTAACGTATTGAGGGCCATTGTTTTTTTTATTGTGCCAAATCCTCCCCAGAGACTGTCAGAAAATGCCACCTCCTCCCATCCTCCTCCTCCAACTGCCCAACGCTCGTTGGATTTACGTGTTTATAAAATGCGTGGCTTTTTCTGTTGTTGTTGTTGTTCTCACGTCTGTGAAAACGAGTTTTGTAGCTCATCGGATTTCTCCCAGTATAAATAAATATTCCGATTCTGACATGTTAGGAAGTCACTGGAGCTAAATCTAGATATACAAAACCGAATTCATTTCGAACTGCTTTATGTGTTCAGTTGTCACCCCTGCACCTCCGATTAGCAACGGTTGGATACGTAGGGTACGAACGAAGTTCAACATACATACGTATAAACATTTTTGAAAAAAAGCTTGCTGTCCATTAAGTTTATTATTATTTTCCTCGGTTGTATTTGTGCCAACGGTACCTTTTGATGGGTTGCCGTCTGTTTCAATAAACTTTGCTCGCGCTTTGTTGAAATGTCCCGCAGCTGGCCGAGTATATATCTATCTTCATTATCATCTCATCATTATCGTACGAGTTGTATCCGGTGGTTGCCAGTTGCGTTTGGATAGAGCGCAGCCAACAAACATTGCGAGTTAATGTTTCTCTCGGACGTAAAATAAAAAAGACACATTTCTTAGACGTTTGTTCCGGAGTGGCAGCTATCTAAAATGTTTTGAGATTGAGATACTGTAAGTTAAAAGCAATGTTTTCTGCGTTAGGCTTGTTTTGAAGCTACATTTTTGCGTACTCATCAGTCATATGCAGGAGTATGCAAAGTGCAGTGATGGTTGGGAGTGATAATACTGTACTTGAACAATATCACTGTGAGTTGGGGAAACATACACGCACTCAAGTCGCACACTAGAAGTGCGTTTTGTAATTAGATACGTATTTCGGGGTCACCTTCAAGATTGCCCTCAGCGTCATAAAGGTCCTCCAAGAACTTGCCCCAGCCTACCTTAACCCTCTCATCTCGCTCTACTGCCCTTCTTAAACTCTCTTATATCTCTCTCCCCTCTCCAATTCGCTCTACTCCCCTTCCATCCACTCTCCTCTTTCTCTCCTATCCCTCTCTCTCCCCGTGCTAATTGAGAAAACTATAAACTATTTTGTTTATTTGACCAAGCAAGGCCCACTGAGCTATATAGCTCGTTTTCAGAAGCGACCTGGCCACAAGTGAAAGCTTAACGAAGTGGCTTATCACGTGGAAATGTACAGCAGCCAAATACCCTAAACGCATGAATCTAAATGTGGATGGAAAATCCGGATCACTCGGAGAAAAATCCATGCGACCACGGGGAGAACATGCAAACTGCAAATATACAGGCGTTAGGTCGGGGTCGAACCCACGCTCTCTTGCTTACCAGGCGAGGTAGTTAACATCTCGCCACCGTGGTGCCCACTGCAAGTCTAGGCGCAAGGCCAAATCCTCCCCTTTCCTCCTATGACTGCCTACGTTTAGCTCTCTATTAAATATATAATTGCACGTCCCTTCCCCAGTGGGAGATTCACGTCCCACTGCTTTGTAAAGCTTCTTGAGGTGTGGTTGCAAATCGTGATTGTGGAATTGTAATTTGTATTCACGGTGTGTGATGTACGTATGT